GAAAACCGGATTATATTTGTATCTTACATGTATTTGGCGAATATTATCACGAAATTATTTCTTTAAATTGATAGTAATTTGATTGTTTTTGTTTTTTACAACAATTACAACTTTGTTTCTTGCTTCTGCTGCTACAGCTCGAGTCTGACGCTGTATATAGTTGCACCAGTTGCGAAATGAGCTTCAACTCCGTCCTGGAGCATATCAAGCAGTTCCACGATGGCCAGGAGGTTTTGCTAGAGATGGCGGAGCAGTTGAATGATCTGGCGACGACAAGTCCGGTATCCGTGTTGTCCGAGGGCTCGGAAAATGTGGCGAACGCACGACAGCGGCAGACGATGAACACGTTGCGCACGGAGGAATGTGTGGATAGCGAGGGTAGGCTCTACACCAGAAAAGTCGTGCAAATTGAGAAATTCTGGGACCGTACTCCGATTCAGGTGACAACGTCACAATCAGCGAAGGCTCCGATGATCGAGAAGTTCTTTTCGAATGTGGAAGGTGTTAAGGTGTGATTTAAAGGCGCGCTTCTCAGCGGAAGAAAAATCTCGCGCGATACGCATTTCGTCACGTAAGAGTTCATGTTCTCTCTAACGCATATATATAATATCGCAGGTACGAGAAAAACGCCTGGCGACCGCGTCGATGCGAATGTACAAATGCAATCAGTGCCTGCAGCAGTTCTCCAAGTTGGGAAATTTTCGCGTGCACGCCTGTCTCCGTGGCAATAATCGTTGCGAGCAATGCGATCAGAGCTTCGCGACCCCTAGAGCCTTGCAACTTCACGCGAAGGTGCACGACGGCGAAGCCGATCCGAACCGGAAGACGTTCCTTTGTACTACGTGCGGTACCGAATTCTGCTCCCACAAAAGCTTACGACTGCATTCGAGGATGCACGCGCCAGTGAGAGCCAGACATGTCGATGCACCCGAGGGCACCCCTAACGCGACTTTCACGTGCCCCGAATGCGGTAATAAATTTATTTTTTATTTTACCCTTCGAATTAGATATTAACATAGTTCGCACTATAAGAATGACGACGTATATCGTTAAATTTTATCACTGAGCCGATAATCATAACAAAATATGGAGGAGTCATGAGAAATCCGAACACTTGTGTGTCTCTGCTATTTTAAACAGTAGGAAAAATTGAAACTATAAGGCTCTACAAGGCTACGATAATACGCTAATTACTATTATTATTATTTTAATATATAATGGTAATTTTTTTAGGTAGATATGTGGGAAATCATGAGAATGTATTTAATGATCTTTTAAATCATACACAAAATTTTATTTTCAAGCAACGATATGAGAATAATTGATAACGCGCTTTTGATGTTAAACTACATATTAAGCTAAATAATTTTACCTCTTGTTTTCTTAACATGTCGATTAATGTTCTGCAGGTAAAACGCTATCCGAATCGTACAAAGACGCGCACATGACGCTTCACACGGGCGACTCAGTGACGTGCACCGTGTGCAACCGAAAGTTTGATTCCGCGGATAGCCTGACGATGCACGCGGCGGTGCACGTCGAACTGGCACCTCCGCAGTCGCCTATTATGCAGACTTTGATTTCGACGTCTTCCGAGGCAACGACGACACCAGCAACGATAACGCCGGCTTCGACGGTAACGTCAACAACGACGGTGACGACGGCGACAACGACAGTGACAACAATGGATCCAGGGGACAGCCAGAAACCCTATCAGTGCCAGCATTGTGGACGCAGGTTTACCAGACCGCACGAGAAAGTCAAGCATGAACGAATTCACACCGGGGAGAAGCCGCATGCCTGTGAGGTAGGCGGACAATTGTATAGTCAGGTTTTGTTAAGTAATCACATAGACACGTGGCTGAAAGTTTTTTTTAACATTCGGACTATTAACGATTAACTTCTATTACAGTGTATATATTATATATCTTTGACAAAAGAGATAAAGGAAAAAGTAAATCAGTTTAATTGTTTATATATTGCAACAAGAGTCACAGGAAATCTCAGAAGATGCACCGTTATAAACTCGAGTAATTAAAAAAGAAATTATAAATCAGTTGTTTGATTGCTTTGGTAGTTCTAGTGCTAATACGTTGTATCTTCTTTCGTTGCGTCGCATTACTAATGTCAAAGTGCTGCGGTCTTATGTGGATTCTGACTTTCTCATTTGCTCCATTAATATTTTTATCTATGTTTATCGGCAGGTTTGCGGCAAGACCTTTCGCGTGTCCTACTGCCTGACCCTTCACATGCGCACGCACACGGGCGTACGGCCTTACGGCTGTCAGCATTGTGGCAAACGCTTCAAGGCGTCCTCCGTCTACAATCATCACTTGCTGACGCACGGCGATGAGCGCGCCTACACGTGTCCGTACTGCCCGAAGACGTTCAAGACACGGGTGCAGCTGGCCGGTCACAAGAACAGCCACACGAAGCCGTTTCGTTGCACTGAGTGCTCACGGCCATTCGCGTCGCTCTACGCTGTTCGCGCGCACATCCAGACCCACAAGAAGGACAATAATCTCAAGTTCAGCTGCTACGTGTGCGGCGCGTCGTATGGCCGGGCGTTCGCTCTCAAGGACCACCTGAAGCAGCACGGTCAGGACGTGTTGGCGCTACCGGAGCCAGCGCGGGAGGAAGAGGTACACGAAAACTTTCTCCTCGGCGAGGAGGAAGCTGAGGAAGACGAGTTCGTGGCTCCGCCACCTCCACCACCGCCGCCGCCGTCTCCACCACCGCGCTTCTCCGGCGTGGACGACACCAACTGAGGTCAATTGTTGCAATTCGATTCTAGTCATAGAATCGTAGCGCGTCCCGCAAGCTTGCCGAAAGCTTGTCGTAAGCCTACGGAGCGTTCGTGAAGACTGGAGTATTGTTACAAGTTCCGCGAGTTGTTGCGTGAATCGAATAGAGCGGATTTTTTTACCAAACCCAGTCGCCATCGATTGGGACCTAGTTGTATGTAAGCGTTGTTGACTCGTTAACAAAGTTTATTGTCTGTTCGTATTTCCCGTACTGTGTTCGCCGTTTTTCCATCATGAATTCGTGAGCCTGATCGAAAGATTCACTGCTGGGAGCAACTAATCCGCGAATACAAGTGTTGCATTACCTCAATCGATTCGAACTGGACATAATTACGCAACGAAGAATTGGCCGGGTGCTTAATTGGTCTTCTTTAAGAAAAAAAAGAAGCAGAATTTGAATATATCGTGATGAATTTTTTTGACAGGCTAATAGACAGCGTACATTATATAAATTGTAAATGTATTGACCAATTATTATTGAATTACACACAAGTTTTCAAGTAATACAAATATAATATATTTTGTAATATTTATAATAATAATAATTATGTAAATAAAAATTAGGGCATTATAATTGTATAAAAATTAGCATATTACGCATTGCATTGCGTATTTATGTCCGACCAGAGTTGTCGAAATACACAAGGCAAACGAAGCTCACGAATCGCTCATTGATGGAAGTCGTTGCGATTAGTTGAATTTGAATATAGCTAAGTTTTTAAGTACGCGCTTTTAATTTATTTGAGATTTCTTGGTAACGAGAAATGGGCTGTCGTACGTGACATATACACATCACAACGGACAAATTTGTTCTAGTTTCAATTTCATGGTTATTTAATTTATTACGTATACAACGATGAAATTATTTATCATTGTGTACAATCGCATTATTAGTTGTATTAATTAAA